TTATTTCATTTTTTTCCTATTGACAAAATAGTATACATTTGGATGGGTATTAAATTGTAATGGCCATCGGACTGCTGGGAACAGTAAAAAAATCTAGTTGAAAAAGAGTTAACTCTCTGCTAACGCGTTTTTTCTGATTTGCTTTGCATTTTTAAACGAAACAAAAGTATTTGCAGATTACTCGGAAAAATCGGACATCAGAGCCCTCGGAAAAAATTGTTAGCTGGGAACTATTACCTACCACACTACAATTCGAAAAACAAGACACAGCCTATCTCACCAACATACAACAACAACGTTACTCAATGAACGCTCAAAGCCCGACAAATCAACAGCCGTATGCAATTCTTTCACTACTTGCCAAGAATTGGCGACATGAGAAATAATTCGCATTGACTTATCTATGGTGAAGACATATAGAGTCGTATCGGTTGACAGAACAGGCTTGTTACTGCAGGGCGCTTGCGTTAAGGATGGCCTGTATTTAGAAGAATCGTTGGCTGGAAATCTTCTTGGTTTGGGTTAATTGTTCCACAGTTTTGGCTCACAGTTCCTCAGGCGCTTCGGCTCACCGTTTCAATCGAAATATCTGTATGTACCTGCACCTTAAACCTCCAGTTACCTATCGACAGAAAACCCGAATAACATTCAACCGGGATCCCGATGATGGTAAAATCATCTACAACCCGATGTCCATTCTACAGAGTTAAGGATTTTCCTAACAATGCAAACAACACGAACATCGTAATCTTCGATTACTCACATATCGTCTGCCTCGTAATTTTCTATCAACCACGACTCGTCAACATACGATTATCCTAAAATCGAATATAAACCGACATTTCTACATCATAGTTCCCATCTTAACACTAGAATTTCCGATCGTCGTAAACATCAAAATCCCGATAATCAATGGCACCTGAACAGCTATATATTAAATTCCCGTGCATCTCTTAAGTTAATTCGCCAACATAACTATTAAACCTATATTATCGCATTTAAACACGAGTCGATTGAAATTTAGTATTTAAATTCATAAAAACAAGTAAAAAAGTAGTAAGATCGGGCGGACTGAACTTTGAATACCCTCCAACACTTGGAACGAATTTGGAAGTTTTCAAAAAAAATAAAATAAAATCCATTTAAAATTCTGTTAAAATCTTAAAAATGCCAACTATAGCCACTATATTGGGTTATATACGAAGACATTGACGTGCATAGGTAAGTTTTGTTTTAAGCCATTACAACATTCAAATACGAAATTTGAAACAATTTCGGTGAATAATATCGGTAAAATCATCAAAATACCGAATATTTGGAGGTACCGTTATATGAAGGCTATACGAAGACGTGAGCCGGCATACGCAATTTATTGTCATAGGCTGTAGTACCTATTACTAATTCTAAATACGAAATTGCAACAACTCCGGTGAATAATGTCCCTAAAATCAAAATATCGATTATCGGGGGTGCCGTTGTATGTGGGCTATACGATATCGTGGGCCTATATAGACATTTCTCTTCCAGGGGGTACAGTGTTTAAAAAGAACTCATACTATGGATTTTTAGACAATTACCTGAAATTAAAAATGGAGCTAAAATCATCAAAATACCGAATAAAGGGAGGTATTCTTATATGGGGGATATATGATATCGTGGTCCTATATGGACAATACTCTACTCTTCCAAGGGTTAAAGTACTAAGTAAAGTAAATTTCATTCAAATTGGCAACTATCATAAAAATACCGAATATCGGGAGGTACAGACATTTCTCTTCTAGTATGGATTTTTGGACAATTCCATTAAAAAATGTGATTAAAATCATCAATATACCGATTATCGGGGATACCGTTATATGGGGACTATACGATATCGTGGACCGATATAGCCCATCTTCGAACTTGACCTGCAAGTTAAGGTTGTATCTTCAAAATTGATCACTCTTACATTATTGACATTCGATACGTTTTTCATTAATCAGGAATTATTATATACACGAATGTACACACGAAGAATAAGAGAAGAAAGAGGATTCAGGATCTCAAAGAAAACCTCGTCGAGAAAAGACATAAAAAATAGATTAACGTTGTAAATCTCGATATGACATAGATATATCTTAAATTTTTCATCTGATATGACAAATCGTTGAATTTTCTTCAATATGATTTTTTTTTCTTTTCCCATTCCTCCGCTTTTTCCAAATTAACATAATTCAAATTGAAAGTAAAATGAACGTAAGTGAAGAGAAGACAAAATAATTAAATGCAGCCTGCGGTTATTTCGCTAGCTTTTGCATTCAAATAATCGTACAATGCCACCCGGTTCTCCAATTCGTTTCATTTCAAACCAACATTTCGTGGCGCATTCGAGAGCATGAAGTCGCAAGCATTGGATCAAATTGCGGAACTTTTCTGTGTTGGCAAGAGCAAGTGGCAAAAATGTTGTTAGTTAATGCACTTGCAGGGCTTCCCTATTCCACCGAGTAGTCCAACTAGTAGTTAACCAGTCAGACGTCGAACGGCAACAAAGTACTGGTAACTGGGTCAGTAGAGTGTTTCAATTTCCAGCCCAAAACCAAAAGCCGACGCATGCCCTACGATTCTATACTTGTTAATCAAAACAAAAAGTAATTGTATTTCACTTGTTTAAATTGTATCTTCTTCTTCTATATCTATAAAAGGGGAAAATATTTGTATGTTTGTTTGTAATTTATGGACTCGAAAACCGCTGAATAGATTTTCCTGAAAATGTCCATATATACTGCAACATCGCCTGAAAGTAACATGGGCTATATACATTTTTGAATTTCCACTTGGAACTGGAGATATAGCATCAGAATCGGAGGTACCTCCCAAAAATTTAGATTTTATATGCACATATATGTTGATTGGTTGAAGATACAGTCTCCAAATTTGGAATACGTAACGGAATTTGGAACAAAAATAAGTTTGCCAAATTATATTGTAATCGGTTCAGATTTGGATATAGCTCCCATATATATTTTCGACCGATTTCGTTCATTTGATGCCTCAAACACAATATGAATGTTCGATTCCAATGAAATTTGGAATGTGTGACGGGATTTGATCCGAAAATAAATTTGTCAAATTATATCATATACATTTTCGGCCAATTTCATGTATTTGGTGGACCAAACACGATATGTATTTCCAATTGTAATGAAATTTAAAATATGTAACGGAATTGGGAGCCAAAATGAATTTGTCAAATTAAATTGAAATCGGTTCAGATTTGGATATAGTCCCATATATATTTTCGACCGATTTCATGTATTTGATGCACTAAACACGCTATGTATCTCTAATTTCAATGAAATTTGGAATGTGTAGCGGAAATTAAAACAAATATACATTTGTCAAATTTTATTAAAATCAGTTCAGATTTGGATATAGTTCTCATATATATTTTCGACCGATTTCATGTATTTTATGCACCATACACGATATGTATGTCCGATTCCAAAGAAATTTGGAATATGTAACGGGATTTTGATTAGAAAATAAATTAGTCAAATTATATTAAAATCGGTTCAGATTTGGATATAGCTCCCATAAATATTTTCCGCCGATTTCACATATTTGATGCACAAAACACGATACGTATTTCCGATTCCAATCAAATTCGGCATGAGTGGCTAAATTTGGTACAAAAATAAATTTAAAAAATTTTATTGAAATACGCTCAGATTTGATTATAGCTCCCATATATATACTCAGCCGATTTCACATATTTGATGCACCCAAAGCGAGAGAGACAAAATCTGGCACCAGAAAAAATTGCCAAATTATATTGAAATCAGTTGAGGTTTGGGTATAGCTATTTACGCATTAAAGTAGTGCAATAATTTTTTTTTAATTTTTAAATTTGTTTTTTTTTTTTTAACCAACATATATTTGTAAATAAAATTTTGAATGCATATAAAATCAAAAGGGGTAGCGAAGCGCACCGGGTTCAGCTAGTCCAATATAAAATATCCAATATAAAAATATGTACAAATATATCCTAGGTATTAGCAAAAGTATATTCTACAAATATTTATGACAGGTTGGGTCCTCGACATGTATCTTTTTCATTAATTTAGTTTTTCATTTCGAAATATTCACATTAAACTATCAGAAATACTAGGGGAAATTCTTCATAACCAAATTCCAAGAATACTTTCGGAGCCACCAATTGATTGCTGATACAAAAGAACGGAACAGCTTGAAGTGCGCCACATACTTAACTTATGGCAGTCATTGTTGGCGTTTATTCTTTCCGACATTTCACATCCGCAGTCGCTAAGAATGATGTCAATGATTTTTTTGCGGCTGGGTGGCGGTTTTCTTTGACAAAGCCAGTGCAACCGACATGAACCTTGACAAAAGTCATGAATCAATTGAATTTGTGTTTTTTTTTTTTTTTTTTTCGTTTATCGTTTTTATTCGTTCGTTCATCCATCATCAATAGGCCTTTGACCGTAGATAAATCCATACTCACTAACTATCCGAGGCAAAGTTTGTGAATTACGTTTGAGTTCAACCGTAAGAAAGCGTAGTAGTCGATGTGTGCTCCGCCATCACCACTACTAAGACTTCGTAGCTCTCGATGTGATAATTTGAGAGTGTTTCCAACTAAATTGGAATGCTTTAAAAATTACTTTGGTCATTGTAAGCCAATTAAACGCCAACATGTTATGGCAAATGTGGCCGACAGCAGGGTGGGGAAACACTGGTATAATGACCTCAAAGTAACTATTGGGAATTTGATGTGAATATCGTCACAAGATCAGATATCCAATGTTCACTTTGTACCTAGAAAAGTTATAAAACCACAGGAAAATGCGTTGGGCCACAAAAATAGTATTCTCTGTGTTTTCCCAAAATAGTAGTAAATATCAAATAACCCATTCGAAAATGTCATAGAAAAGATTTTACATGTTTTTTACTAAATACAAGGAAATATCAAAATTACAAAAAACAAATTCATTTTCACTTACCCGCCTTGCTGGACGCATCTGTATCGCCCTGCTCCTGCAGTCGCTCCGTCAACAATTTATGTATGACACCATAGGTGTTGATAATACCAAAAATAACTCCGTTGCAGAGAAATGCACTGATCATGACCAACCAAGCACGCATACCGCCATCTGGTGGTTCCTTAGCGCCATGAATGTCTCGACAACACGGAGCTTCAATGTGTTCCGGCATTGGCAATGCCTTGGACTTTTGAAATTTGCCATTTGCATGATTGTTGCCGTTCAAGCGTCCGCCGTTATCGATCGCTACAATTTTGCCATTCGACTGCGAACTCTCATTTAAGGGCTCGTTTTCTGTCATAGCCGTATTGCTTTAAATTCCGTCAGTTTAAATTTTTCTGAAAAGAAAATAAAAAATCAATAGTTTATTTGAAAAACAATAAAAATGTTTTCAGTTATTTAAAAACAGTCAGAGAGTAGCCGTGCTATAGTACTATAGTACGCTTACATTGTACTGACGTTGGCAAATCAACAACATTTAAACGAAGCCCTGTACTTATCGAAAATATGAATTTAAAGTCTAACATTAGGGTTACAGATGGAAGAGCTTCTGTAAAAACGAAAAAATAAATCAGACCTCCGAAAAAGTCTGTTTGCTGTTTCACGCACACACATATCAGAAAACAAAATATTTTGTTCCACCCGATATCACCCTTAGGGCTAACTCTCACTCTATATCGATCGATTTTTATACCCTCCACCTTGGAAAGGAGAGTATATTAACTTTGTCATTCCGTTTGTAACATCCCTTAATATTCGTCGTAGACCCCATAAAGTATATATATTCATAATCAGCATATTCATTCTAAGTCGATTTAACGATGTCCGTCTGTGTGTCTGTTGAAATCACGATACATCCCAAATTATTTGACGTAGGCAGAAAAATTTAGCAGAACAATTTGTATTGAGTCTAGGATGCCTGGTATTGAAAATGGTGGCGAAACATTTCATGTATGGGTCCACGTTTTGGTATAGCCCCCATATAACGGTACCTTCCGATATTCGGTATTTTGATGATTTTTGTCACATTTTTCACGGATTTGTGTAAAAGTTGCTATTTGTTGGTCATAATGGGTTCACGTTTTGGTATAGCCCCCGTATAACGGTACCTTCCGATATTCGCCATTTTGATGATTCTTGTCAGATTTTTTTTAAGGATTTGTCTAAAAATTGGTATTTGTAGGTCATAATGGGTTTAATGTTTCCTTCACCCTAAGGTGGACCGGCCAAATTTAATGTTTTTTTTTTACTTGTACAAACGAGAGAGACTCGTGAGTGCTTCCACACAAAACAAAAGTGTAATACACAGTATAAAACCATTCATTTCAGATAAAATCCTTCTTCATTGTTTTTACTTTTTAATTAATATCGTCGACAATAAATATTCTTTAGAAATAAATTTGACACTTCTATTACTTGCATGAAAACGTCAACACTATCAGATGACTTGTAATAACTATAACATGTTTTATACATTAAAATAAATGACGTGACAAATTGTTTAAACATTAACATTAACACATTGAATTAATCCAGGAATTTGATGAATCGGTTGTTGCAATACGTTGACCTTATCTATCGAAGTTTATATGTACATTTGCCTTTTCGTGTAATATGAGGAATTTATAGATTGGAAAAACGGAGTTTATAAACTCATAATTCAATAAATGTGTAGAAATTTTATAATTTTTGGAGTTCGAATAAAAAAGGGATATTTTGCAAAAAAACTATAAAGTTTTTTAATGAAATAAATATTTTCACTAAAATTGATAGTTTTCAAAATTCAATTACAAACATTCACATTTTATAGTTGCCATATAAATGTATTTCCAGATATTCGATATTTCCATAATTTGAGACATACTTTTCACCAGAAATGTTTTGAAGATCCTATGACAGAAAATGTCTCTTACAGGTCCGCATCATCATACATCCTCCATATATAAAAGTACCCTACATTCGGCATTTCGATGATTTTAGCTACATTATTCATCGGAATTCTTTCAAATTTCATATTGTAAATTGCCATAAGCAGGTCCATGTCTTCGTATTGCTCAAACATAACCGTAACTTCCTATACTCAGTATTTTTATGATTTTAGCAGTACATATCAACGGAATTTTTGCAAATTTGAATCACCTTGTGCATAAATATACAATACTAGCTGAAGCCGGCACGATTCGCTACCCCTTTTGATTTTATATGCATTCAAAATCTTATATACGAATATTTTGTGGTTTTAAATAAAAATAAAACAAATTCAAGAATATAAAAAACTATTTATGAATATGTTTTAGAGTATACAGGGTGAGATGAAAAAAACTGCAGGCAACTTCAGACTGCTGTCATTTCTAAGCCACTCGTCCGTCAGTTGTTAAAACGACGGAAAATGGCTCGTGTTCTGAACATATCGCAATATTCCATTCGGCAAATATTGAAAAATGAGCTCATGGTAAAGTCATTAAAATTCCGAAAAGTGCAAGAACTTACACCGCAACAAAAAGAGAATAGACTCAAAAGTGCCAAAGAGTTACTTCTCTCGGCCGAAAGTGGTAAACTACGGAATTTGGTTTCTCGGATGAGAAAACATTCGTTGTCCAGCAGTTTGTAAACAAACAAAATGATCGTGTTTACTTGCCAAAGAGGTCAGCTGAAAATGCGTACCTTCGGTTGGCCACCAGAACTCAAGCGCCGGTCATGGTGATGGTGTGGGCTGCCATAACAGCCGATGGTCGCTCTCCGCTAGTATGAATCGACCGGGCCATCAGAATAAATGCCAAATATTGTCGCGAAAATATTCTTGAGGGTGTATTAAAGCCTTAGGCACGCAAACATTTTGACCGCAGACCTTGAAAATTCCAACACTCAGCACCATCGCACTCAGCACGCGCCACCCAAGAATGGTTACAAAATGAGGTTGCTCGTTTCATTTCCAGCGCACAATGACCACCAAAATCTCCGAATACCATTTCGTTGGACTATTGTGCCTGGAGTATTTTGGACAGCAAGGTTGGCACTAAAAAATACCAAATTGTCGATCACCTCAAGCAAGCTCTTCGAAGGGAATTGGCCAAAATAACGCAGAGCAATATTCGGGCAGCGTGTGACGGTTTCATTGGTCGTTTTAAGGCCATCATTTGTGCCAAAGGTGACCAATTCGAACAAATCTAAACTTCTTCTAAAATTTGATGCTATTTCCGACATTTTTTGTTTCATTCAATAAAATTTAAAAAAAAAAAATTAAAAATTATGGCGTTTGACTTTGTTGCAGTTTTTTATCTCACCCTGTTTGGCTAAAAGACATGAATGTTTTTTCTAACGATCTTTTAAGTCATCCTAATTAATACATTTTTTATAAACCAAGACAATGGAAAATTAGGGACCAAAACTTGATATTCTTTTAAGTGATATAGTATATCACATGGTCGTGGTCGTCCATCTACATCTCTCTATCTTGTGGAAAATTTATGGTGAAAATTCTCGATTTATAAGCAGTAAACGTTTTGAATAATTTCTGGCAATCATCAAAAAATTTAGAGTCATGTTCAAAAAACTAACACAAATGCAAAAAACAAGCAAAAAAGCACTAAGTTCTGCCAGGCTGAACTGCAAGCCTAACACCCATCTGATTAAAATGTTATCAACCTACTTTATTTCGTTTGGAAGCTAGAATGATTTTATCTGCAAAATTGTCGAAATGAAATTTTATGCTGATCGAGAATATATATGCTTCGTACGGTCTAAAATGTATATTTCGAGGTATTACAAATGGAATGACTCTCCATGCTATGGTGGAAGGTATAAAAGAAAGACGAAAACGTCTGCACAAGCAGATGCATTGTAATAAATATACCTAGTTTTAAACAATAACATAAATGACATGACAAATTGTTTAAATTATGTAAACACAAGCTTTAACAATAATATTACATAGGGAATTAATCTAGGAAATTTGATAAATCGGTTGTTGCAATACGATGACCTTATGATTATGTACGTTTGTGATTCATTTTGTCATACCAGCAAAAATTGATATTTGTGTAAAAAATGAATCAACAGATAAAAACAAATACGTTGAATTTTGTTCATAAAGAGTGTGTATATCAAAGTCAATCCTGAGGGCTTTAAAGCGGAGACAAAGCTTCCTATATTGTTATTCTTTCAACATAAGATGGTTCTATATTAAATCTACCTACCATTCCGTTTGCAAAACTTCCAAACATTCGCCTGAGACTCACTTTGGCTCTGTACATCTCTCAATAAAAATCAAGAAAGAGTCCAGAATATTTTGTAATTTGGCAGACCAAATAAATGATTCGTATGAAAAATGGGTTATATCGGCCTATGTTTGGAATATATCTCTTATTTTTCGTCATATTGAATGTTCAGTCACATTTTCTAACCGATTGAGCTGTGAATCCATGACGCTTAGGCCTGATGACGTCTTCTACGACCTATATTAGAACAAAATAATCCTCGTGTTTTATCTGCAATATTGTCGAAGACACTATATACCTAAAATTGATGCATTCCAAGGAATCTATCGGAAATTGTCCAAAAATGAGGGAGATGGGGAACTTGCCCCTCTATACACGTAACTTCTATTATTAGCTCAACTTTCATTATCTACTGAATTTTCCATGTAATTATTGGAAAAATTAATTAATTTATCGCTTTTAAATATGGGAGTGCGAATTCGATACGGCAAAATTAAAAGCTCTTTGATTTGTTTAAAAGTAGATCAGTATCTTACTACAAATCAGAAGGTTGCATGTTCAACCCAGTTAATGGGAAAATATAAATACAAATTTACATAAATGCGCCTTAAGGAGTATTATTCGGTTATTTTGGAATAGTGGGGCCTAAGTGGCTGGCTGTTTTAATAGGATGACCAACCAAAAATTGGCCCAAAACATAAACTGGGTCACCAGATTTTTGTTGTTGTTTTTATAAACTCAGCCATATGGCTATGTTGTGTATATATTATGTGATACGACCAAAACGGTCTCTTTAGACCAAATTGGTTTCAGGACATTTGGAGATTGCCTGCTAGTGCGCATGATAAATCCCAATTGGGTCCAAATTTGTTACATCGTAATATTATTTCCAAACTTAGATCGGGATCAAAGAAGGTAATATCGGTCCACTCCTTCTGGTATCTCCCCCACAATGAGGTCAAAATTTAGAATAACAAAACGCTCTTAAAAAGCGATATAAGATTTATCAATATTTATATCTCTCATAACTTTCGAAACAAGTTAGCTTTTCTTTTCAAACTTGGTATATCTAAATGTTTCAGAGATCTCATGTGAAAATGGAATTTATTGGTTCACTCTTTCCCGTACCATTCCACCAAAATTAACAATTATTGACATAAATTGGAAATAAATCTTGGTTTTTCTTTCAGTTTTGCCCATTGGAATATTTTCACCAGTATTAAATGAAGTGGAATACTTATTTAATGATTTTCAAAATATTATCTTAATTGTGCTGCAAGTAGTATATACAGGGGGAGATGAAAAAACTGTAACTAACTTCAGACTGCTGTAATTTCTAAGCCACTCGTCCGACAGCTGTAACAGCTCATTATATTGTTTACAAGCGTACAAAAGCATTTTGGTGAGAATTTTCCAGAAAAAAAGTTTATATTTGGCTGGAAAACCACAAGTGGCTATCGTTAGGGCATTCGAGCATTTAAAAGTGAATAAATCTTTTGTGTCCCGTACCATCGCTCCACATCGTCATCGTCAAGGAAGTGGACGGAAGAAAACAGCAACATCAGCAGAAATGGTTCGAAAAGTAAAAAAGCGACTTGATCGAAAACCGCGTCGCTGTGGCCGAAAAATATCTCGTGAGCTGAACATATCGCAATATTGAAAAATGTGCTCGGCCATTGAAATTCCAAAAAGTGCAAGAACTTATACCGCAACAGAAAGAAAAAAACTCAAAAGACCTAAAGAGTTGCTTCGCTTGGCCGAAAGTGGTGAACTGCCGAATTTGGTTTTCTCCGATGAGAAAGCATTCGTTGTCCAGCAGTGTATAAAAAACAAAATGATCGTGTTTACTTGCCAAAGACGTCAGCTGAAAATGTGCACCTTCGGTTGGCCACCAGAACTCAAGCGTGGGCCGCCATAACAGCCGATGGTCGCTCTCCGCTAGTATTAATCGCCGGTGGCATCAGAATAAATACCGAATATTATCGCGAAAAAAATTTGGCCGCCGACCTCGGACATTCCAACAGGATTCAGCACCATCGAACTCAGCACGCGCCACCCAAGAATGTTTACAAAATGAGGTTCCTCGCTTCATTTCCAGCGCACAATGGCCACCAAAATCTCCGGATAACAATCCATTGCACTATTGTGTCTGGAGTATTTTGGAAAGCAAGGTTGACACTAAAAAATACTAAAGTGTCGATCACCTCAAGCAAGCGCTTCGCCGGGAATGGGCCAAAATATCGCAGAGCAACATTCGGGCAGTTTGTGACGGTTTCATTGGCCGTTTGAAGGCCATAATTCATGCCAAAGGTGACCAAGTTGAACAAATCTAAACTTATTCTAAAATTTGATGCTATTTCCGACATTTTTTGCTTTCATTCAATAAAATTAAAAAAAAATGTAAAAATTATGGCGTTTGACTTTGTTGCAGTTTTTTTAGCTTACCTGTATAGTCAAAACCCAATTTATCAAAACTTTGGCATTATTCACAAATAAGTTTTGGTTATTTCGCCCGCTTAATACTTGCTAAAATCGGAAACAGATCTGAAGATTGGTATACCAAAAGAAAGCTAGAACGAGTATTTCGCCTTTTTACATGAACTTGGGGCAAAACAACGAACAACAGACTTGTAGGTCTACATTTTCAGTGATCTGTATAGATCACAGATAGATTAAATACAATCCCCAAATAAAAATTGGACTTAAAAACATTTTCAGGGCCTCTTTTTGCATGACCATACGTCAATATTAAGAAAAATCAAACTATTCCTTTTTAAACTTTTTATTAACTCGAAACCATGGTACAAAAAAAGGTAAGGTAGAGCTTCCAGCTGATTACAATTTTTTTAAGCTCATTTCGAATTCATTTTTGTATGGTCATACAGAAACAGTCCCTTAATGACTTTAATAAACCAATCGAATATAAATAGTAAGAGCTTGCATGCTTTATATTCTTTAATTTCCCGCCATAGTTTCGTATTATCGTCGTTTTCATTGTGGCGATATTATCCAGAAGATACAATTTTCTATACCGATTGTTTTCTATAACCAATACGCACAGTTCACATTATATGTTCATAGATAGGTATGTCTTTTCAATTTCAACTAAAGTTTCAGTTACAGGGTCAAACCCCGCACTGATTTTAACAACCGATCGCACTGCAGACATTGACGTTGAAGGCTGCCTGCTGCAATTGCAAAATGCCATTTCATCATTGTGGAATCATTTTACAAAAATAAAACGAATCCACACGAACTAAACCGCATAACAGGGCCGCAAAAGGTAGTCACTGTCCATAAATGAGAACTATTCAGCATTAATTTTTTTTCATATTTTTTGCTTTCTGGTGTTCATTTTTGTTGTGATATGCAAAAAATAAAAATTAAGAACAAAACAAACTTTTGTTTTGAGTTTTCCGTATTTTGTTTTGTTTTGTTTCTTTTCGTTTTTTTTTTTTCAGATACAAATAGTATCACTTCAAACACACATTGCACACATCATCGCTTCTCTATAATACTGTACGTGGGGATGGACGATAGATGGGTGTGCGGCGGCACATCAGCCTTATTTCCAATGAATAGGCAGGGAGAGACCCGCAAATACACGTGTTTCGATTATTACTCACTCACTTTCTTTTAAAAATATCAACAATTGCACATGCACACACGCACACTCGCCTCTTCCTCGGTTGGCGTGGAGAGTTTGGTTCGAATAATAATAAATGGCAGAAAAGTGTTCTCGCAACCTTGAAATTTCTATTCGAATTTTTAATTTTGCACAAATTTATTTATTTTTTGTCAAAAATTACCGCAAACTATGTGTTTTATATAGGTCGGTATAACAAAACTATGAGCGCCGCAATATTTACTATTTTGTTTTTATTTTTTTTTTAGAATAAATTAGTTCCGCGAGTCTTCTTATTGTCAAGCGATAAGTAATTACGACAATCCGAAAATTGGCAGAGCGAACTACCATTCACGACGGCGGTCGTGGGTAAAGTAAAACTTTGTCATTCTCCCTGCCACAATTATTGATTTGTTTATTTGCACCGACACTCGACGCTAGTGTTGTCGCGACAAGCGATTGCACTCCGTTGACGATGTAAAAAGAACACGAACCGCCTCGCCACTCAGCGTTGCTATGGTTAACGAAGAAAAACATTCTTCTATCGCAATGAAAGGTTCTCGGGAGAACTTTTTTGTGGTAAATATTTATGTTAATGCTCGGGTGCGCTGAAATACCCATATCTGATAACGACTGTTTGCCACACGCACGTACAGGGGACACTCGTCGAACACGTATTGCCACATACGGAATTGTAAATGTAATGTAGGTGGGGTGGGGGTGGGGGTGAATAGGGGTGACAACTGCATACAAAGGAATTTAAGGTAAGAATAAAATGTCATCATACTCATCCTTGCATTAGGGAATGGATAATTACGGGAGTGGGCTGGTCGGTAGTGACGTCAACCAAATTAAAGGGTGTTTTTTTTAAGCTCGATAGAACTTTAAATTGTAAAAAGTAACACAAAAAATTAAATGTTGATGAAATTTTTTTTATTTGTTTCAGTATACTCTGGCAAATCATCATCACTATATGCGTCATTCTTTTTTTTAAAAATATGGATGACATTGATCCGGAAGAGATGTGGTTTCAACCGGATGGCGCTACGAGCCATACGGCGAACGCAACCATCGACTTATTGAAATCAAAATTTGGCGATAAGTTGATTTCGAGAAGTGGACCTGTCAATTGGCCTCCAAGGTCCTGCGATTTGACACCTCTCGATTATTTCCTGTGGGGCTACGTGAAGTCACTGGTTTATGCTGATAAACCAGCAACAATTGACGCTTTGGAGGCCAGCATTGTTCGTGTTATTCGTGACATACGGCCAGCAGTGCTCGAAAAAGTGGCCAAAAATTGAACGTCCAGAATGCACTTCGTCAAGAACAGCCGCGGTGCCCATATGCCCGAAATCATTTTTAAATGTTAATGTCACGTATTGATTAAAATTTAATTTTTTGTGATATTTTTTACAATTTCAAGTTCTCTCGGGCTTAAAAAACACCCTGTATAAAAAAGTGACCAGAAACTTATTCGTTCAACCCTCTAATTTTTTAATAAACATCCCTAAACCAGCACCATAATGGGTAGAATATAAAGTGACTACGCTTTCACAAAGCCAATATCCTTTTAATCATGTTCCGTTATTTATTAAAGGACGAAAAAATGAAAAAAAAAACTCAAAAAGTAGTTAATGAATAAAAGGAAACACCATAAATTTTCCTTTAATTATAGATAGGTTGACCTTTCTAAAATAGGACACCATATTGCCTCTGATTTTCCTCTTGTGTACTGACCAGCGGTCAATCAATCAAGCGGCAATTAAGTGTGGCAATCAAACATGCATTGACTAAAATTGTTTGTTAGCAATTGTCTATTTATACGACCAAAATTAATCAGGGCATTTGGAGTCGATCTTAGCCTGTGCACACGATAACTCTCAAAGGGAGTATCCGATTTGATCTAAAATTTTCAAATCTCAATATTTGTGTCAATGCTATGTCAGAAAAAAATTAACAATATCGGCCCACATCGTATACCACTCGTTCAGATACTATGACTATCGTCAGAGCACTCCAGCATTTAAATGTGAATACATTTTTTGTGTCTCGTACCATCGCTAGTTACCGTTATACTGGTAGCGTAGCCCGACGTCAAGGGAGTGGATGAAAGAAAAAAGCAACATCAGCAGAAATGGTTCGAAAAGTAAAGAAGCGACTTGATCGAAACCCGCGTCGCAGTGGCAGAAAAATGGCTCGTGAGCTAAATAAATGAAATTCCAAAAAGTGCAAGAACTTACACCTCAACAGAAAGAAAATAGACTCAAAAGAGCTGAAGAGTTGCTTCGCTTGGCCGAAAGTGGTGAACTGCCGAATTTTGTTTTCTCCGATGAGTAAACATTGGTGATGAGTAAGCAGTTTGTAAACAAACAAAATGATCGTGTTTACTTACCAAAGATGTGCACCTTCGGTTGGCCACAAGAACTCAAGGCCATGGTGATGATGTGGGCCGCCATAACAGCCAATGGTCGCTCTCCGCACGTATTCATCGACCGTGGCATTAGAATAAATGCCGAATATTATCGCTAAAATATTCTGGAGATTGTATTAAAGCCTTGTACACGCAAACTTTCCAACAGGACTCAGCACCATCCTACTCAGCACTTGCCACCCAAGATAGGTTGCAAAATGAGGTTCCTCGCTTCATTTCCAGCGCAATGTCCACCAAAATCTCCGGATACCAATCCGTTGGACTATTGTGTCTGGAGTATTTTGGAAAGCAAGGTTGACACTAAAAAATACCAAAGTGTGGATCACCTCAAGCAAGCGCTTCGCCGAGAATGGGCCAAAATACCGCAGAGCAACATTCGGGCTGCGTGTGACGGTTTCATTGGCCGTTTGAAGGCCATAATTCGTGCCAAAAGTGACCATTCCAACAAATCTAAACTTATTCTAAAATTTGATGCTATGTCCGACATTTTTTGCTTTCATTCAATAAAATTTAAAAAAAATATGTAAAAACTATGGCGTTAGACTTTGTTGTAGTTTTTTATCTCACCCTGTATATCAATAAAGTGGTATTAACATTTGGTTTGTTCCAGAACTACAAGAATTTAAATGTTTGTACTAGGATAATCGATTTTCCCTTTATGATAACGAGAAAATTTTAAAAATTAGTAGATTCTTGCATGTACTGGAACAGAACAATAAGCAAGTGATTTTATAACTCAAATAATATAAATCCTTGAACGTCACTTCGATCAATGCCGTGATCAGAACTATTTACTCAAACTGTTTACTCTGATAAAGTGTTTCTTTGAGTGGATTTTCATTCCGCAATTAATAGAGTAAATGTCTCTTGAACTAGTTTTTCATTGCAAAATAACGACCTTGTGATATTATATATGTATAAACTGTTCACTATGAAAGACAATGATAAGCACGTTCTGGAGAGAGAGGTTGTCGTGAGTTGATGAATCTTTATTACCTCTGATAAAATGTTAAGGATTTCCTAAAATTAAGATTTAGATAGGATTTAAAAAATATTAAAGGCCAAAAATATTTGTACATATATCTTGGTACCCAATCAAAACCCACATTTTTAGGTTATTTTGAATTATGTTCAAAATTCTCGGTATCGGAAGTGGTCAATGAATTTTTAGCCGCCATTTAACAGAATCAAATTCAATTTGCTGTTTCTTAGAAAGATATGTGCACTATTGTGTGTAGACGAGCTATAGGAAAATATTCATAAGTCTCTGCAATACATTGGTATTCTCTAAACCACACTGTGGTACCGGTGATACATTTTTATAAGCAAATAAGTAGTTATCGCATTTATTTTTCGATTGAGATGATGTTTACTGAGTTGGGACAAGCACTAACCCTATCGAAATTTGTGATAGTCGGTCCAGATATAATTCCCTTCGCGTTCACGTGTTTGATGTGCAATATATCTGAAAAATACCTCTGCAAGTTTTGCCAAAAATTCGTTCAGATTCAAACATGGTTCCCCAATACATCTTCAACATCTATTGTGTACCATATGAGATAGGAAGGATAGAAGAAGTATGTTGATTTTGATCACGATCTATACAGATATGTCCTGTTCGCAGCAACTGGGAAAATTTAATTTAAACTTTTCAACTAGTATTGGCATCAATAATGATTGTTATAAACTTACTGCAATAAATCTCAGATTTTTCGAAAAAAAGAAAATTATTTAAACTGAAAATTGATGAAATGTGTACAACCATTCAGAATCTACCAGAAAATAGACTTGTTTGAAGTAAAGCGATACATTTTAATTTTTGCTGAAGAAAAGTCTTGACATTTATTCGTTAATTTGCTTCCCGTGTAACCTGTTCACAGACCTTGGATTCTAGCTTGAATTGGAGGAATTGATAGTCAGTTGGGCTTTTTGTATAACCTGGCCATGCTTGAGTCCACATTGAAGAATGATTTCTTCCCCCTAGATTGTTCAATGGACACTCTTTGAAACCTCTGGCAATCTGTAACTGTACATCCGTCTGACAAGCATTTAATTTCAATTACAATTCACACTTAAACTGTGCCGACAAATTCAATCGAAAAATAATTCCTTCAATTGTTTGTTCAACTCAATCATCTTCGTCTGATTTTGCAAACAAACGCAATTTTGATTATTGAGCGTCTTTTATGTTTTCATTTTTTTTTTTTATTTTGACTCAATTGATTTCCAATTTTCAGAAAGAGTCATGCGGTCTGCCTTTTAATTGACCATCTGATTGACTACTTTAAATTTATTTTTTCTATCATTGATCCACGCTGGTTGCAACAACTTGCATTCAATTCTAATCGACTTAATTGAATGATGTAATTTACTACAAAATGTTGTCATTCGGCAGTGGACATTGCAATGGGGTTAAGGGTTTAATATCAGGTCCATACGTGAGAGTATGTAAAAACACATATGTTTATATAAAAATATTGGGTATATGGAACATTTTTTGCCTTTGGATTTAACATTCCACCAACTTTTTTGTATGCATTTGCTTGGTTTTTGGTTAAACAAACCAACAATGCTATTTCGCAGGGTTACAAAAATAATTAAAAACTTGACATATCTTCCACTTGATTTAGGGTATTATATAATATATATTGTCAGTTTTACTTCAAATAAACATAACGGTTTAGTTATCACTAATATATGGATGAATACTGTAAGAATTGATTGAATCAATTGTCTAAATTAGCGGATATCATTATTTAAAACTTCAATCTTGTTTTTTGACACACAAAACGAATATAATAACGTTTACTGTGTTCATTTTATTGAGTTTGTAACTCAAATATAAGAACAATAAATGTATGAAAAAAGATAGTGGAAATCATAATTAAGCTATTTAAGCTGAATAATTCTTTTTTTTTTTTTCTTTTGTTTCATTATTCTGTCAAAACAAATGCACATTTCGTATATATGTGTGTATTGTTGTGAATAAAAAAGAAAACAATTGGAAAATATTTTAAATTCAGTTGC